GGGCTTTCTGACTAGAGCTCCAATGCCCAGGAATTGAGGCCAACATTGACAAGTGGGACCCTCACAAAACCAAAAAACTCTGCCCAACTAGGGAAACAATTGAGTGAAAAGGAGTCCAGCAGAGTGGGGAGAATCTTTCCAGCTACACATTTGACAGTGGATTAACAGTCAGAGAATACAAAGCACTCAAAAGTTCAGACTCGAGAGAAGAGTTCTCAGACAAAGAAATAAAATTGGCTAAGAAATATTTTGGAAAATGTTCATCATCCTTAGCAATTAGAGAAATGCAAATAGAAACAACTTTGAGATTTGATCCTACCCCAGTCAAAATGGCAAAGATCAACAAAACAGCTGGCCACAAAGCTGGGAAAATGTGGCAAAAGGGAACCCTCATTCACTCCTGGTGGGATTGTAAACTGGTGCATCCACTCTAGAAAACAGGTTTGGAGAATTCTCAAAAAGCTAAAAATAAATCCAGCCTATGACTCAGCTATGCCACAGCTTGGCACATGCTCCAAGGCCCTGACATCCTACTCCACTGACATTTTCCCCGGCCATGTTTGCTGCTATTCATAATAGTACGAAATGGAAACCACCGAAATGGTTTTCCTCTGACAAACGGATAATGGAGATGTGGTGCATAAACACTGTAGAATGCTATTCAACTATTAAAAAATGAGATCATGGAATTGGCAGGTAAATGGATGGGTCTAGAAAATATTTTATTGAATGAGGTAAACCAGACCCCAAAAGACAAGCATTGCATGTTCTCACTCCTGTTTCATAGCTCCCAAACTTCAGATATGAGCATATAACACAGAGGAACCACAGAAACTAGAACAGTGAAAAGGGACCGTGAGAGGGTGTCTTGGAGTTTCCAACTACTGTGATTAAAGCACCATGGCCAAAAGCAACTTGGAGAGGAAAGAGTTTGTGTAAATTCACATCAGCGAGGAAGCAGGAGCTGCAACAGAGGATAAAAGGATTCTGCTTTCTGGCTTGCTCCCAGGACTACCAGCCCAGGGGTAGCACTGCTCCTAGAGAGCTGGGCCCTCCCACATCAATCACCAATCAAGAAAACACACCACAGGCTTGCCCACAAGCCAGTCTGGTGGGGGTATTTTCTCACCAGAGGCTCGCTCTTCCAAAACGAATCTATCTCGTGTCAAGTTGACAAGACACCATCCAGCAGCCAAGTGGGTGCTCGAAAGAGGAATGCTGAATCCGTGTGATAGGAAAAGAGAAACGGGAAGAACAGGGAAGGGGGTCTACTGGAGAAGGGGCAGGTCAGTACCGAAGGAGAGAGGGAGGCTGGACAAATAACACTAAGGATGCTTGGAAAAGCCTTAAGGAATTGCGTTATTTTGTATTTACCTAAAATTATATACAACACACGTAAGTGTAGAGGCATGAGGAATCTCCACTGGAGTTGTTGATAAGGGGAGTGCAAGAGACTCCCCAGACAATACAGGCTATTACTGCTGTTCGTGGTTGCCTGCCAGAGGTGGAAGGGAAGTCCTTATTGCTGAAGACACCATGCACTTCAGACACAGGACTCAAAAGATTCAAGCTGGCTCTGCCCTGAAAGCCTCCTCCCTGGGGACTAGCATTCATAGTTTCAGAAGGTGCTATTCAAGCTGCCAAGGGAGGGATGTAAGCAAAACGGTCATTCCTAGATGTGAAGTCTATGAACCACAACACTGACCAGCAAGACATGATATCTCTAATGACACCGTAGTGTTACTCATGTCTTGGTGGTAATCAAGAGCTTTCTAATTGGACATAAAGCCCACTCAACAAAAGGGAAATCATGCCTGGTACTGGAAACCTAGCAGATTACACAGGGCTAGTGACGTCACGAATCTCAGAGGGGAACCTA